CCTCCTCCTCCTCCTCCTCCTCCTCTTCTTCTTCTTCTTCTTTTTCTTCTCTGGGTTGCATGGGATTCTGTCAGGACACCAAGTCTTGGTAGGAAGGAGAAGAGGACACAAGCCTGCAGTACAATCTGTCTATTTGAACCTGACCGTGAGATTAAAAAGCTCTGAGCATTCACCAAAAAAATGGCAGTGTACACGATTCAGAAAGAGACGTCTCTTGACCATCACCTGAAGACCCCAAAGGGGCATTCAGGAGGTGGTGCTGAACAATGAAACCTGGACAATATTTATTCCCTTCTGCAGGATAATAAAAGACATACATCTAGTTGCAGAAAGGGGCAACTAGAATGATCAAAGGGTTGGAACACTTTCCCTATGAAGAAAGGTTAAAGTGTTTGGGGCTCTTTTTGGAGAAACGACAACTGAGGGGTGACATGATCGAGGCTTACAAGATTATGCATGGGATAGAACAGGTGGGAAAAGAAGTACTTTCCTCTCTCACAATACCAGAACTCGTGGGCACTCCATGAAATTGCTGAGCAGTCAGGTTAGAACAGATAAAAGGAAGTCCTTCTTCACCCAAAGAGTGGTTAACACATGGGATTCACTGCCACAGGTGGTGGTGGCGGCTACAAGCATGGACAGCTTCAAGAGGGAACTGGATCAACATATGGAGCAGAGGTCCACCAGTGGCTATTAGCCACAAGTTATAGATAGGAACACCCGGTCTGGGGCAAGTGATGCTCTGCATTCTTGGTGCTTGGGGGGGGGCAACAGTGGGAGGGCTTCGAGAGTGATTAACACATGGAATTCACTGCCACAGGAAGTGGTGGCGGCTACAAGCATGGACGGCTTCAAGAGGGAATTAGATAAGCATACGGAGCAGAGGTCCATCAGTGGCTATGAGCCACAAGGTATAGATAGGAACTCTCAGGCTGGGGCAAGGGATGCTCTGTATTCTTGGTGCTTGGGGGGGGGGTCAACAGTGGAACGGCTTCTAGTGTCCGGGCCCCACTGGTGGACCTCCTGATGGCAACTGGTATTTTTGGCCACTGTGGGACCGAGTGTTGGACTGGATGTGCCATCGGCCTCATCCAATATGGGCTTCTCTTATTTTCTTAATGGAACCTGGACAATATTTATTCCCTTCTGCAAGTTAATAAAATACATACATCAAACATCCCGTGGGAATGTCATGAGAGCACCAGTAGCCAGAGCCTTCCCTTTGATGGCACCATAAAACCATAGACTTCTCCTTCCTAAGGGCTGTCAGTTAGGCCAAAGCCTCTGGCCAGAGCAGGTGAGGTATAGGGTGATTTCCCACAAGCGCTGCTCCGCGCTCACTCTTCTCTTTGGCCGGATGGTACATGCCAATTTCACACAAGCTGCTGCACAGCTGCATTTTGCCTCGCAGCTTCGTGCGATTTTCCCCGCGTCTACTCAATCCTGTTTTTTGAGAACTGAGTAGATGCGGGGAAAATCGCACAAAGCTGCAGGGCAAAATGTGGGTGCGCAGCAGCTTGTGTGAAATTGACATGTACCATGGGGGCAAAAGGAAGGAGTGAGCAGCACTTGTGGGAAATCACCCATAGACAAAAATCTCTTGAGATCCAGCCTTGGGGCTTAGTGCATTTTGGCTAAAGGAATGTGAGGTATGTGTGGGAAACCATTCGTTCATGGCCAGGCACCATTTTGCAACTAGGAAGCAGGCAATGGACACACTGCAGTGCTTCATGGGAAGAAACCAAAGTCTGTTTTTGCTACATCTATTCGATATACCTTATATGTAAATGGCCAAGTCTCCCTTAATCCAAAATTCTGCCACATTTTTGAATCGAGACAGAGGTCTTAACAAATGGAAGTCATGTCTTTATAATGCCATGCAGCCAAGCATTCCTTTACAGTTGGAGTCGATAACCCCATGAAGGAGCTGGGTATGTTTAGAGGATGGAGTGGAGTCATCTTCTGTTGACCTAGAAGGTCAGACTAGAACCAAAGACTAAAATGAAATCAAAAGAGTGTTTGGAGAAGAAGAAGAAGATGAGGAGGAGGAGGAGGAGGAGGAGATTGGATTTATATCCTGCCCTTCACTACCCAAAGGTGTCTCAAAGCGGCTTACAAACTCCTTTCCCTTCCCCTCCCCACAACAGACACCCTGTGAGGTAGGCAGGGCTGAGAGAGCTCTTGACAGAAACTACTCTTTTCCAAGAACAGTTCTTATCAGAGCTACGGCTTGCCCAGGGCCATCCAGCCAGGTGCAAGTGGAGGAGTGGGGAATCAAACCCGGTTCTCCCAGATTAGAGTCAAAGAAAAATAATGTACCTGGTCACCGCGCTTCCACCTGATGCACCAGCGTCACTTAGGTTCACTGGAGAGCCAGTTTGGTGTCGTGGTTACTTAATTGCTGGTTACAGGCCAAGAATATAACCAATCAATGCTACATCTCAAACACTGGGAAGAGCCTTGCACCTGGTACCCAGTGCTAGAAAAAAAACAAGTCAGGTTTCTTAGATAAGAGTTCAGAAAAGTATTAATAAAAACATGCAAATAATGTTCTCGGGATCAGCCTGCCAGTGATCCTCCCAGGCAACTAGAGGTCATAGAAGTAAAATGTAGTCACAGAGGCTATACAACTGTGCAGGGAGCTGGACTAGAAGACCCCTGGGTTCCCTTCCAGTTCTACATTTCCACATTTCTTTGTTTATCCAGGTAAATTTCAGTACCACAAAGTCATATGACATGTTCTCCGGTTTGGTGTAGTGGTTAAGTGTCTGGACTCTAATCTGGGAGAACCGGGTTTGATTCCCCACTCCTCCACTTGCAGCTGCTGGGTGACCTTGGGCAAGCCATAGTTCTGACAAGAGCTGTCCTTGAAAAAGAGCAGTTTCTGTCAAGAGCTCTCTCAGCCCCACCTACCTCACAGGGTATCTGTTGTGGGGAGGGGAAGGGAAAGGAGTTTGTGAGCTGCTCTGAGACACCTTTGGGTAGTGAAGGGCGGGGTATAAATCCAATCTCTTCTTCTCTTCTTCTTCTTCTTTTTGCTCCTCCCTTGTTATCCCTATCTTCTTCTTGCTCCTCCCTTGTTATCCCTAGCAATCGAAAGATATCCCCTGCCACAAATTCATAGCTCACTGGAAATTCCTTCTCAAGTCACACATCTATCGAATATTATCTAAAATTAAAAGCTTCTTTTTTTCATAAGATTGGCAACATTCTTGGAATGGGAGTGTTTGTATATTTTTGTACGCAGGTGTTTATGAAATAATTGTTTGTGCTCCGCCGGAACAATGAAGTGTTCGAAGTGTACATTTTTGTGTATGCCAAAGCACTAAAATGCTTCTGTTTTTCTTCCCTCTTCACTGTCTTTTTCAGTTCAGGGCTTAGACGTCTTGTCAAACTATGTGGTTTCTTCTGTAGACAATTCACAAGTGGACTTAGTGGATAAAAATGAGATACCGTCTTCAAACGATGACACTGAGCTAGCAAAAGAAGTTTTCGCAAAAGATACCCCGTTCATCATCTACACAGACAGGATAAATAGGAAATCGGTGTATACTTGCAGCTATCGAGAAGAAGATCCCAGCGTGGGTGAGGTTTTCAAGGACCGCAGCGCAACTCAGGTCTATGCAATGAATGGAGACGTCCACACCTCTGAACATCTTACAGCCCCAATTAGCAATGTTATACCTGATTTGCAATCAGATCTCTTGAAAAATGGCGCCGAAGGCTTTAGGACACCTGTGGAGTTTTCAAAACATAGTAAACACACAATAGGGGAGACATATTTGAATGGAAACCCAGCGTGTATTGGCGTCCATGAAGAAGAACCAATGCTAGTCATGACAGCCCTCTATGATGGTGGCCCTTGTGTACCTCACAGACTTTTGGAAGGAACTGAATTGAGCCAAACGGCTAAGAATTGTGGAACTACTCTCCTTTCAGACGAACTCAAATATAACGAACCGAATGGCCTTGAGAAAGCAGTAGATCCAGGTGGGGAGGCGATATTGCCAACCTTGAGCCCGTTTGATATAAATGTCCATTTTGACACGTTGAGTCAAACAGAAGATGTCCAAGAGACAAACTCTTTTCAGAAGGAGCAAAGAGTGCCGGAATGTGAAGAATTCAGTTTGACGTCAGGGGCCATCAAGAGATCTTCATCACTGATCTCTGACTCAGGAATCGAAAGCGAGCCCAGTTCGGTAGCTTGGTCTGACGCACGGAGCAAGGCCTTAGAGTTGCCCAGCGACCGGGAGATCCTCCACCATCTTGTCAGAAGACACGCAATCCACCGGAACTCTCTGGAAGGTGGGCACACGGAAAGCAATACAAGCTTGCCCAGCGGCATACAGGCCTCACTCACCTCGATCAGCTCCTTGCCGTATGAGGAGGAAGAGAGGGAGGTTGAACCGAACAAGTTGACCAAATCAATTTCTGCTCCTCAGATCAGTAGCCCTGAGGAGTCGCTAGAGGATAAGGATATATCCAAGCATGCAAAAACTGCCTCAGACCTTGCAGAGGGACCATACGTGGAAATAAGATATGCCAGCATGGCATTAATGGGAAGTATTTCTGGCTGTCAAGGGGACAAAGAAAGTGATGGCTCATACGGGCCCACGACCGCTGATCTGAACCAAAATGGCCGCCATTCTCACTTAACCGAAGATGCTGAAGGCTTTTCAGAGACGGACTGTAGATTGGAAGGCACAGGAGAACTTGGAGTTGTGGAACTAAACATAGGTGGCACAGTTCATCTCAATGAGGATGGGGAGGAGAATAATTTGCACAGGAGCCAAAGTCTGTATTCTGCAGATGGAAAGCCCTTCTCACATGACGAGGATCAGGCGCCAGACTTCTGCTATGCCATCCCTTCCTCGTCAGAGATTGTGTCCAAAGATGTCTCCCCAAAGGATTCCTGTGGTAGTCCTGTTACCAATGGCAACCTGACACCGTGCGATTTGGGAACACCGACCTTTCAAGAAATTGAACTGGACAATAGTTCCAGAACAA